TGTTACTCTGTTACTATTATGTCTCAAATGTATACATATCAGCGTTTAAATATGCAGCACTAGCACCACTTCTCTTGTATATGACTATAAAATAAATATGAAATTTATCATTTTTTATCACTTTGCTACTAAAAATTGCAGTCATATATATTCGTATTAATATAAAAATTGCAACTCGTGTTTGCAATTTCTAGTAGCAGGCAGACATAATTGCAGGCCAACACAATATATTTTTGTGCTTTAGCAGCGCACACTCAAATTTGTTAAACTAATATGGCGAGTATTGATGTTATTTTTGTTGCGTTTAGTTTTTCCTAGCAGCAATGTAACTTTATTTTGGTTTTGCTACTGCCAGTTGTAGTTTTATTTATTATTTTTTGGCAATATTGATGCTGCAATTTGTAAATAAACATATGTATGTATTGTATGTATGTATGTATGTATGTATGTATGTATGTATGTATGTATGTATGTATGTATGTATGTATGTGTATGTATGTATGTATGTATGTATGTATGTATGTCTGTATGTCTGTATGTATGTCTGTATGTCTGTATGTATGTATGTATGTCTTTTGTATGTCTGTATGTATGTCTGTCTGTCTGTCTGTATGTATGTCTGTCTGTCTGTCTGTCTGTCTGTCTTCTGTATTCTGTCTGTCTGTCTGTCTGTCTGTCTGTCTGTCTGTCTGTCTGTCTGTCTGTCTGTCTGTCTGTCTGTCTGTCTGTCTGTCTGTCTGTCGTCTGTCTGTCTGTCTGTCTGTCTGTCTGTCTGTCTGTCTGTCTGTCTGTCTGTCTGTCTGTCTGTCTGTCTGTCTGTCTGTCTGTCTGTCTGTCTGTCTGTCTGTCTGTCTGTCTGTCTGTCTGTCTGTCTGTCTGTCTGTCTGTCTGTCTTTCTGTCTGTCTGTCTGTCTGTCTGTCTGTCTGTCTGTCTGTCTGTCTGTCTGTCTGTCTGTCTGTCTGTCTGTCTGTCTGTCTGTCTGTCTGTCTGTCTGTCTGTAGTTTTAAATCTTCTCATAGCTTTCTGTATGATATAATACAGAAATAACTACCCCTGATATTGTTTCTTGTTGTTTTCTCAATGTATTACAAAATAATATTAACTTACATTTCCTCTCAAAAAAAAATATCTATAATAATCTTCCACATTTTAACAGTGTGATTGTGAATAATTTGTAAAGGTAAGTTCATATTCAACGAAAATATTTTAATTATGTGTGTTCGCCCCTGTTTTCTACAAGGTGATTATAAATTTATTAATTTCTACAACAAAAAATATTTAAAACTATCATTTTTTTATAAAATTGGCCATTGCCCAAAAATGTTTTATTCATTAGAACAAAATAATAAAAACATCTAAAGAATGCTTTTAATTTGAGTTGTGTTTTATGGGGTAGCCATATTTTCAATGACATACATATTTATTTAATTCATATGGAGGTTCCAAGCCCCTAATAAAAGTCTGTCCATTTTTTCCCAATGTTCATAATGAAGTTAAAGTTTTTCGTCAAATAAGAAGATTCTGACTCTAATAGTTTCCGAGAAAAACGATGTCTGTATTTAATTTATATGGGAGGTGCCACTATGTATATTTTACAAACTATTGTTTATGTTGCGAAAAATAATTATCCTTAATTAAAGATTGTGGTAACACTGGTATAACTGTTTATTCATAAAATAAAATATAAAAAAAAAACAATAAATAAATTTGCAGCTAGCAGTTGCAAAATAAAATTTAATTGCTGCTATGAAAAACTCAGCGCAAATAAAAATATCATCAATACTAGCCATATTAGTTTAACAGATTTGAGTGTGCGCTGCTATAGCACAAAAATATATTTTTTCTTGTACAACAAACAAGAGATTAATGCTGTTCATTCGTGCTGCTAGAGATTGCAGTGTAACGTCGCAATGTTTCTAGTTAAACATAAAAATAGAACGGCAATATTTAGTAGCAATGTTATTTAAATCTGAAAAAGTTTAAATATTTTTAGTATGACGAGTGATAAAAATGTGTATTTTGCGGCAAATGCTGACTAATATATTAGTAAAAGTAAACACTGATACATATTAATGAATTTTCAATGAATTACATAAATAAAGAAAAAATGCCATTAGTAAACTATATCACATAAATTATCATTTTTTATATAACTTTCTCCACGAATCGCCCTAATAACTCAAAAAAGCGTTTTTCATTAACCATTGCATTTATCTAGCTAATCGTAATAAAAACAAGAATTTCCCATTAATTAAAACTAAAATGATTGAAAATTGTTTGCAATTAGTACTGTGTGAGAGATTTTCTTTCGCAATGATTATAATCACTTAAAATTGCACAGAGTTATTATCATTCTGCCGGTTTTATTGTGTTTTACTAAACAAAACAAAACACTATTTCTGTTTATAGTTTATATATAGATGAAATATGTATAATTTCACTTTTTTCTGATTTTCTCCAACTCTTTTCATTTTCAGATTTTTACAACAATAATTTCTAAATCATAACAACACTGATTGAAGAAGGAAGCCATTGTGTTCACATGCCATAACTGGAAAACGATCAGCCAGCCAACCGATTGCATCATGCAAATGCAAACTTATAAACAAAACAATAAAAATTCCAATGGGAAGTATATCCTGTATGATGATTAAAATTGGCAAAAACCATAATAGTGAATCAATGAGTTTAAAGTAAATTTCTGAACAAAACAACAACAACAGCAAATACAAAAATCCACTATAACACTAATAATAATAAAGGCATCATAATCGAAAAATATATGAATGAAAGAAGGAAACAAAAAAATAAAACTGAACGTTGTAACATTGGCTCATTCATGCATTGAGGGCCAAATACAATAGGCTTTTGCTGGGTACTTCAACTGAAACACATAATCATATACCTTTACGAAAAATCATAATACACATACACTTACGTATACAAATGTGGATTATGCACTTACATACACATTTACTAACTACACAGATATACAACAATAGCCTGATATGCCATGGCCCGAACAAACTTATCAAAATAATAAAAACCAACATAGCAGCAGAAGCAGCAGAAACAGCAGCAACAGCAACAGAGTCACTAGCACCAGCAGTGGCTATAGTTACAACAGCAGCATTAACAACTACAACAACCCAATCATCTATGAAAGTGAATGCTTTGCAGCAACAACAACAACAAGACGAATACTCGCCCACACGATTACATCAAAATTGCAACAATTTTCATCAACAGCACGAACATCATCATCACTATCGTCCAACATCTCATCAAGAGCCAGAATACGAACACGAACAATGCATACACGGCAACTGCTATCAAAACTTTCTAGAGACTCCTGCCGTGTACTGTCTACGTGCCGATAATACTGCCCAGAGTATAACGCTCTCCTTTAAGGTGAGAAGAAAATCAAAGCATTTCATCAATACTCCACGAACTTCTCTTAATTTACCTCTGTTTGACACCCTGAAACGATTTCGCAGCATACCTCTGATACAGTTGCTGTGGCTGCTGTGCTGTCTCAGCAATATATTTCACAAATCGATGGCCGAGTGCCCTAGTGTTTGTGAGTGCAAGTGGAAGAGTGGCAAAGAGTCTGTTTTGTGCCTTAACGCTAATTTAACACATATCCCAGCTCCGTTGGATGCTGGTACCCAAGCTTTGGATCTGACCGGTAACGAAATTGCCACCATACCCGATGACACCTTTGCCGAAGTGAATTTATTGAATTTGCAAAAGGTATATTTGGCCAAATGTCGACTGCGGCTAATAGAGCGTTACGCGTTTCGTGGTCTTATCAATCTAGTAGAGTTGGATCTAAGCTATAATGCTTTGGCTCATATACCTTCCGATGCTTTGGAGAGTGTTACGGAACTGAGAGAATTGAAAATGAATGGTAATCCTATAATGATAGTAGGCAATGATGCCTTTAAGAAAATGCAGCATTTGGTAAGACTGGAACTGAGTGATTGTCGTGTGGAGAGAGTAGAGGTAAAGGCTTTTGCTGGTCTAGAGTCTAGTCTGGAATATTTAAAGTTAGATGGCAATAAATTGTCTGAAGTGAGATCGGGTACTATAACGTCACTAACAAATCTGCATGGCATTACTCTGTCCCGCAATCAGTGGAATTGTTCCTGTGCTTTAAGACCTTTAAGATCTTGGATGTTAAGAGAGAATATACCCTGTGGTATACCGCCAGTATGTCAAAATCCTCCCCGTTTAGCGGGCAAGTCATGGGACAAAATAGATTTAGACGATTTTGCCTGTGTGCCACAAATTATAGCCACTGATACGACAGCTCATGGAGTAGAAGGTAGAAATGTAACCATGAGCTGTTATGTGGAAGGAGTACCAGAGCCTTCCGTTAAATGGATGGTGAAAAATCGTGTAATTGCCAATCTAACCGCCACCAATGGGGATAGTCCTTCAAACAGCCCCAGAACAGCGGCTGCTATACAAGGCAGAAAAACATATGTGGTAAATATGTTACGAAATGCCTCCAATCTCACCATACTCACGGCTGATATGCAAGATGCTGGCATTTATACTTGTGCAGCTGAAAATAAAGCCGGAAAGGTGGAAGCATCTGTTACGCTGGCTGTATCTAGACGACCGCCAGAGGCTCCTTTAGGATTTAAAGTTATTTTACTCTGCATATTCATTGCTCTACTCTTTGTAGCCGGCTCATCATTTGCTGCCATATGTTTCTGTTCATTGCGCCGCAAAAGGAAAATGCGTTTGTGGAATACTATGCCGCAGGGTCGTACAGAAAGTTATGAAAAAATCGAAATGACTTCACGTATTACGGGTGGTGGTGGCATTGGTGGAGCTGGCAATAATGGCGGACCTACCAACAAACCGGATTTGGGTGGCAAAACTGGTATGCAGGAAACAAGCAAAAACGGCAGCACACAGGGACAAATTTTTCATGACAATGAAAACGGCTATTTGTGCTCTGCCACTACCCCACTCAATTGTGGCTCTGATGACGGGGGTGATACGGGTGGTGCAATCATTAATCCCAGCGGTGGCAGTTCCAAACGTAATGGTGATTATCGTAACATACCCACGCATTGCGATGATGACGATAACGATCATATGCAGCATCAACAGCAACATCATCAGGGCTTTGGTGGCGGTAGTCACAAAACCTACCAACGCAGTCTATTGTTGGCATCTACCACAACACACAATGGTACACTGACAACAACAACAACCTCTTTAACAGCGCCGAGGTGGAAAACGGGTTCAGCATTTCAATCATCTACACCTCAGGACACAGTAATGCATTTGGATGGCGGCGTTAGTGGCACACAAACGAGTGGCTTAAAAGACGACACAGATTTGCATATACCACGTCTTATTGATATTGGGTAGGTATGATTTTAGTTTGTAAAATGTAGTATTTTTTTAAAGTTTTAAATCCTTTTCTATCCTTACACCTTAACCCTTCCAACTAACCAACGAACGATGCCCTGTTACTTATTAACCAATCACTTTAAGTGGCAGGCAGCAAGTGGTACAGTGGTACATTGCTACAAATGTATGTAATTCCTCGATTTACGTCATCAATATTTTTGGTTCACTAGAACTTCTTATTGTATCTTCATTCCATTTAATTAAGGTGATATCAGGCTCTTAGTAAGACTACTTTGAAACTTAATTTCAATTGTCTTTCGAGGTATTACTGTAGTAACATATAGAGTTGTATACAGTTTTGTAAATCATTTCATTTGGCAATTTGCAAACTGATTTTTTTGTCGTTGTTAACGCTGCTATTATGAAAACAAGCCTCTAGCCATTTGTGTTGGCTGAGAATAAGCAATATACATAAGTATGTATGTATATTGTTTGTAAAGTTCAGAGTATTTATGTTTGTATATTTATTTGCCCTACTTGAAAATTCAATAATCCTTTGACTTGGTTGTAAGCAATTGAAAGTTAAATTTAAAGGAAGTTTAAAATTTTTATTTATGGAAATTGTGGTTGAGTTTTTGGTAACCTTCAAATTGTGAATTGTAAAAGTATTATGTTGAGATTTATTTACTAAACAGACTCTAATATCTAAATTTTACAGACTGTGTACTCTATATTTTAGAGACTACAGTCTCTAGATTCTATATATTCTACTCATTATAGACAATAGTATCTTGACTATTAAGACTGGACTATGGAGACAATAGAAAATATAGTCGGTTGGCTGATTACAGTGACTATAGAGGTTATAGCCCGTACGTTGGCTGTATAGAGACTAGAGTCCGTTTACAATAGAGTGTACTACCCGCTGACTATAAAAACTATAGATCGAAGATTATATAGGCTAAGTCTATTGACTATAGAAACTACCGTCTCTGAAAGGTATAGTCCTTTTACAGAACTAAGCCCTTTGATATATAAACTACAGAGGCTATAGTCTATTAACTTTAGAATTTGTAGTTCCTTGAATATAGTGACTATAGTCTGTTGACTAAAAACATTATAGTGCATTAGTTATGGTCGTAGTCAGCTTAATGAATACTAAGACTGCAATCCACACTGCATCGACTATAGAGGCTATAGTTCGTTGACTATGAAGATAGAGGATCTAGTCCTTTGACTTAAGAGAATATATAGATTCAACGCGCTTGACTATGGAAGAAATAGTTAATTTACTGAAGAGAGTAGAGTTCGCAGATTATAGCCTACTTATTACTGATATATGTATAAACTACAGTTCCTTGTATAGAGACTATATTACATTGAGATTATAGTTCCTTTAAAACGTAGGGCCTATAGTCTTCTGACTATAGAGAGTGTTGGTCATTGACCATGGAGAGTGCAACCAATTGACTGTAGAGAGTAGTCTCCAGACTACAGGTTACTAAGTGACTATAGAAACAACAATCCGCTGACTACATACACTATAGATAGTTGAACTAGAGACTATAGCCTATTGACTATAGAAAGTAAAATCCTTTAACTATAGGGAGTATATTCCGTGAAATATAACCATATACTGATAGCATAAAAGACCAAACAAAAAGACTCGTGTCTCCCAGTTTTTCCCAAAATGCCTCGATACCATTATTGCAAGCACATATCTTGCTTGATTTACTCTCTGAGGCAAAGTTGTAGCACTTGTCATAGAGAACAATAATAGCGAACTTGTAAAATCAAAAAAAAAAAAAAACTTCATTTTTTCATTTCAAGTGAAAAGTCTTAGATTGTGAAATTACACTGCTCATATTAACGCCACCTGTACGTATACGTGTTAGTTATTTACTGATATTACAAATATTAAGTATACGGCTAGTTTAGAGAATAACTTGAAATATCTTGCAGTTTTTTTGATTTTATATGTTCACAATTTTTGTTCTTATGACAAGAGCTAAACGGTTTGCGATATATGAACCTTAAAAATAATTACTCTTTTGCAAAAATGACACCGAGGCGCTAAATCTTTGGGGGCTCATTGTTTTTGGTCTTTAATGAGGTAGTGGTATCCGTATATGGTTATATTTTTTCGTGTTGCACTGTGTAATCATTCAATTTTAATGATAATATATAAAATAACCGGTAAAAAAGACTTTCTTAAGATTCGGTGATGGTTTCCGACTTAAGAATACTTAATATGAGTATATCTTAAAATTTTCAATCTGTGCTTTAATCATTTATTGGTACTGCGGCTGGTATGAGCAATATTTGTATAAATAGTAATGTTGGTTTTTCATGCAAATCTAAACTTTACTGGAATACCCAAAAAAACATTAATATTTCCCTTCTTTTACAGTACTCCTCATAAACGTATACAACTCTTATCTAACTTTTTTTTTCTTCCAATTCGTACCACTGTTCTTCCTTACTTTAGTTTTATTGCACATTGTTGTTTTTGTTCCTTGTTTTTTTGTTAGTTTTTCTTTTCACATTATTTTTTGTGTTTTTGTAGATTACTCGAAAAATCATGGTACTACTAATCACTATCACAATCACTAAATCCAAGGGGTATGTGTCAAGTCTGTCACACACTGTTCTAATCGAAAGAAAGAAACAATAAAAAAAAGAAATAAAAAACTAAACATTCAGTTTGTTTTTTGTTCATACGTACGTTCGTTCGTTCATTCCTTCGTTCATGTAGAGAGACACATACAGTGAGAGTGTCTTTCATAAGAAAGAAGAAGAACAACATGAGAAAAAAAAAGAATTTAAAAAGAAGAGTCGTATGTAAGTTGCCTTTTTGTTGTGTTTCTTCTAAATCTTCAGTTTTTTTTTGTTTTTTCATTCAATTTATTGCTTTGCTAAATGTGTATATGTTTTCACTAAAATGTATGTATGTGTGTCTGTGTGCGTGTTTATATTTGTCTGTGTTTATTACTCTCTAGCTAGGAGAGTGGTGTGTGTATGTTATTTTATTTTATTTCCAGTAACAACAATAGCCGCAACATCACCCTCTCTTTTCACTGTGTATATATTATAAACACACTACTAATAACTGTTGTTGTGTCTATATAACTGTTAACTTATGTATGTATGTTTGTGTGTGTATGTGAAGATGTGTGAAATTGAGTGTAGCTGTCTGTCTGTATCCTGGTGTTTGAGAGAGTGAGTGAGTTTGTGTAATAATGCATGCGATTCTTCTTTGTTTTAATGTCTGATTGTTGTCATCTCTTACACATCACTTGTAGCAGCAATAGCAAAGCAACACAACAGTAGCAACAATAACAACAATAACAACAAACAACACCATAAATACTTGTTGTATAGTTTTTTGCCCTTGTTGAGATTATTATGGCTTATACTTGACACTTTTTTTTCGTTTTTGTTTTCGTTATGTTTGAGTATACGAGTATACAAGTGTTTCTTTACCTTCCGTTTCCGCCAGTCGCACCTCCTTTATCACGTTTCTATTTTGCAATATTTCTTATGTACCAACAACTCTTGTTGTTTTAAGACACAACTACACATACATATTTCAAGTGTATATTCTATAGTTTTGTAGTGGCACCAGTAAAAACAAATAATCACGAAACGGCCCCAGTGTAAGAAGGGGTTAAATTTAAACTATGAATACCACTGCAAAACACACTGCTAATGATGTGCAAAATACTAGAATAAGTTTCTCTAGTTCTGTTAGTCAGTCTCCTTCATAATTCAAGGGTTTTTGTTAATAAAAACTATATTTATAAGAGTGGCATGTTTCAAGGATTTTAGATTTATTTCCCTCTTTTTATTAAGATTTTTTTTTCTTGCTTTTTCTTAAATAGACATCATGAGTTTTTGAAGAATTTAGCCATAGCTACTTAACGTATAAGTTTTTGCTTACTAATTCATACAAATATTTATAACATTCATCTTACTAAGCATTTCATCCAGCCATCCATCGTTTGAAGTCATTTTTTTCCTTTTTCTTCATTCATTCAACTATCATAAGTCTTGAGTTTTAGTTTTAATTTTTTTTCTTGTTGGTACGAGTTGACTATTTTGGTTTTGTCCTGTGTCGTCTTCAGTTTAGTTTCTAGCATTCATTTCCATTTTATGTATTTAGTTTTTTTTTTAGAATTTCTTCCACTCTTTGCCGAAACAATTCATTTTAAAGGATTTTCTTAATGTTGTTTTCTATTTTTTTTTGGTTTTTTGTTTTCTTTTCTTGTTTTTGTTGTTATGCGTGTTGTATTAACATCTCGTAAGTAGATGAATGTATGTGTCCCATTGTATCTGGCTGGAGTGTGGTAAAAATACGAAACTTTGCTAATTTGTTTAATCCATTTAATTTATGTGTTCTAGATTTTATTTTATACGTGCGTGTGTGTGTGTTTTTGTCAGATAATGCTTATTTTATTTTTCATACTTATTCTTAAGATTTTTTAGCTGGAAATGAAGAGATGAGTCTTTTTTATATACAAGTTGATAATTTGACACTATCATGCTTTATAAATTTTTCGCAGATAAAGAGTTTCTTTAGTTTTTGTATTTAGCATAATTTCCGTTTAGGTGAGGGGAGTTTTTAAGTAAGTTTTCTGGGAAATAAAGTGTCATAAATGGAAGAGGTGGGAAGTAAGACTTTTTTACCATGGCGGAAATTTAAGTTGTTTTTATTTTTTTTTAGGTTTAAATTTAAAGATTTTACTTAATTTTTTTAACTCATTTATATTTAAAGAAATATAAATAAAGTTCCATGGTATCTGTGGGACATTTGCTCAATCTTATATTGTGACAAATATTTCATTCATAATTTAGGAAATTTTTCAAAATACTTCAATTAATTCTGAATTATTAATAAGTTAATAGCTAAATACTTCAAATCATTAATCCACGTTGAGACTTTTGCAACTAAAAAAATTATTTAGACACTTCTGACACATAGCTTAATGCATAAATTCATGGCATTTTATCTTAAATTTTTAATTTCTCTTCTGTTCTTAATCTAATTTTTAAGCAATACCATGATTTTTTTTCATTGCACTTTATAGTATCAAATTTAGCTATTAAATGTTTGCATGCAAAATTCAAACCAAACAGCAAAACACTAAACTTTCTCATCTCTCTCTGCTACTACTATTTTAGGTCTACTCCCGATTCTGCCTCAGCCTCTATATCTAGTAAAGTTGATGCTGCTTCAAGGCAAAGTTCGGCCTACAATCATGTTGCCAATTGGGTAACCACCTCTATAGCAACAACGAAAATAACATCACCCCACAGTAATCTTAATAACAATCATACAACAGTGGACTATTATAGTCCCAAAGAAGAGGCCAATTCATCAATATTTAGTGGCAAAGACTCATCAGATAATGATCTCTTCGATAGTAACTATCCGGATCTGTTAGATATAGCTAAATATGCGGTAGCTCAGGCTACAAGTACAAATCAAACTAATGGCGCTTTATGTACTCTGCCCAGAAAATTAAAGAATACCGGTAAATACTTTAAAAATTCCTCGGATAGTCAATCACCTTTGCTGGCGGATAATTCGAGTAAGTATGGCAGCAGTACTTTAGGAGATGCTAGTTATCTTAATGAAATCGCTTTGGGTAGAAGATTCTCGGCGGAATCTTCATACTCCACCTATGGCAGTACAGTAACTTATACCAAGGGACAAAGATCGAATAGTTTTTTGAATCTGGTGCATAGTTCAAGTAAAAATACTTTAGCTTCTTCTAATAATAATAATAAAACAACAGTAACGAGTAGTAGCACGGCTGCGCGCAGAAATCCCTCATTACCCTCTTCACCGGTGCATGAGTATCAGCAGCATCAAAGATCATTTAGTTCGGCTGCTACTCCTCTACTGGACTTTAGCTCTCTAACCAATAGATCTACGGCCACTACCGGCTCGGCCGTTACACCCAGTGGCTTAAGTACTTCAATGCATTGCAGTAGCACTAGTACCACCACACCCGTAACGGCCTATGACTATCATGCAGCCCAGCTGGAACGTTTTCTCGAAGAGTATCGCAATCTACAAGATCAATTGTGTAAAATGAAAGAGACTTGTGAGACCATACGCAAAAAAGAAGTACCCCTTAGAGTGGGTATGGGTCATTCGGCCCATGCCGCTGATCCTGTGATGTATAATGCTGCTTTGGCTGCGGCCAGCAGTCCTACTAGTAATCCAAAAATGACTTTAAAATCGAAAACTACACTACCGGGACAACCACCAGATCCTCCGCCATATTGGCTGCATCGCAATGCAATGCTAAAGCGTTTAAATGAACCCCAGAATGATATATTTAAAAGCTAATGAACCTGTGTACAGTTGCAAATACAATTAAGTCAATTTAATTTACGATCTCAAAAAAGTTGTTGGTTTTAAGTTAAGCGAAAAAAATGTAATGTAAAGAAACAAAATGGAAATTTAATTAATTAGGTAACTTTTTGCTAAGTGTATTTAATAATGAAGGGGTAATAATTGAAAAGGGAGGAATTATAAGTTTTTTCGTATAAAAGATTTGCTTCGATCAAAGCAAGTATGTACTTCTATGGAATGTTCTTTTATGAAAAGATTATTTTATCGAAACAGGTTCCTATACGAAAGTTTATTTAACGTTCTTCTAAGAAACGTTTGTTGCAATCGAATGTTTGTCTCGATATAAACAAGTTCTTATACAAAAAGTTCGTTTCGATAGAACAAAATTTTTTTATTAATGTAATTTTAGTTTCAATCGAAGCAAGATTTTCTACGAAATGTTTATTTCAAAGTTCTTCTATGAAAAGTCTTTCCACGAATAGTTTGTGTCAATCTAAACAAGATCAATTGTGTCAATCTAAACAAGATCGAAATGTTTGTCTCAAAGATCTTCAAAGTATGTTTGTTTCGGTCAAAACAAGTCATTCTATGAAATGTTTGTTTCAAAGTTCTTCTATGATAAGTCCTGCCACGAATAGTTTGTGTCAATCTAAACAAGATCGAAATGTTTGTTTCAAAGTTCATCAATGTAAGTTTATTTCGGTCAAAACAAGTTCTTCTATGAAAAGTTTGGGTAGATCAAAAGAAGTTTTTCTCCGAAAAATTAATTTCAAAATTGTTCTAAGAAAACTTTGATTCGATTGAAAGAATTTCTTCTATGAAAAATTTGTTTCTATTTAAACAAGTTCTTCTATGAAAGTTTGGTTCGTAAGAAACAATTTCTTTCATCTAAACAAAATTTATTTCAATAGAAACAAGTTCTCTTGTGAAAAGTTTTCTTCTACGTAAAGTTTAATGAAAAGTTTGTTTCGATATAAAAAAAGTTTTTCTATGAAAATTCGTTTCGATTGAAACAAAGTTTGCATTAAAGTTCTATAATTAAAATTTGTTTGGATCGAAACAAGTGTAAGAAAGTTTGTTACATTCTGAACAAGATTTTGTACAAAAATTTAGAATTTTAATTTCATAATTATTTAAGGTTCCAATTACTATGGATTTTTTTTAAATAGCTCTGCTATTTAGAAGAATTTTTCCACCATCTGCTCTCTAACAAAACCCCTTCTTCTAAAATTAAAATGAATAATTAATAAAAAAAATTATAAATATATTTTTTCATAAACTCTTAGTTCCTTTATCCAAAGAAATTAAAACAAATTATATAAATAAAAAGTAACATTTAAAGAAAAATCTAAAAAAAATAACAACTAGTAAAGACATAAAAATTATGTTTGAGCAAAAGAAAAGAAGAGATATTTTGTATTCAATATGAAAAAAATTAAGAAAAAAAACTCGCATTTATACAGCTAAGCTTCAAAACATATAACACACAGATACAAACGAATACATACATATAAACAAACAACATATCAAATACTTACATAAACATACAAAATTATACAGGACAACAACTAACTACATAATCATACATTTATTCCAGAAAAAGTAACAAAAGAAAAAAAGTAAAGAAAATAAATCTTAAACAAACTGTAACATAGCTACAAAAATAAATGAAAACCCCAAAAATTTTCTCTTTAACATTTAAATAAACAAAAGAAACAAAATATCAATAGAATACAACCAAAAAAATATATAAAAAAATTTCTTCTCTCTTTTTAGTAAAATATTACAAAAAAAAAAAAACATATTAAATATTTAAGCTAAATTTTAAGCAGGTCTATTGTCTATATATATAGAAATATATAAATGTATATTTACTTAAATTGAACAAAATCAAACAATTCAAGAAATTATAGATTTCCGTTTTATTGTTTTTTTTTCTGTTATTATTTTTGCAAAATGAATACAAATATAAAAACAAGCAAATAAAAACAAAAATGAAACAAAAAGTAAATATTTCGTATTGTATTTTTGTAGTTTAAACATATCGTCGTATAAATTTATATTGTTTATTATTTATTTATATTTATTTATATACATACTTCAACATATAACAATAATACACTAATACATACAAACAAATATATAGAAATATAAACAAAAAAGAGAAAAAATAAACTGTTCTATGTAAATTCATAATAATATTAAAATTTTGTATTTACTTAAAACACATACACACACACTCTCACACAAACATGTAAGATTTTTACTTCCTGGTTTTGTTTTTCTAATACTCAAGCTCTATATCTACTCTCTTTGTAAGAAGTACATACTTATACATACATATAAATCAAAAATATACACAGAAACAAGTAAGAAATTATAGTCGGGCGAGGCCGACTATATAATACCCTACACCAGTTACAAAAATAAACTGTGATTTAGTTTTCATAATAAAGCAAATTAAGCCATTTATTGTTGAATATAATTGTGGACATTTAAGTCAAATTTTGAAGTGGGCTTTCTATAAGGGCTATAGTCAAATGAGACCCTATAATTATAAAATTCATGAGAGTCATCAAGGCTAGTATAGTACTTGGTTTTGTAGCTTTTTGTCGAGATACGATTATATTAAACATAATTATGAACTTGAAATCCCTATTCGTCGGGTTCAGTTGTATGGGCACTAGGTGAAATCATGGACCGATGTTAACCATTTTAAATAGACTTCGTCTCCGGTACATAGAAGATCATGTGCCAAATTTCATTGAATTATGACCTGTAGTTTGATTACAAGGTTTACAAGCCATATTCAGGGGTTCTGATGTTAACTATTTTCAATAGGATTCGTCCCTGGGACAATAGAAGATCATGTACCAAATTTCATTGAATTATCTTCAAAATTGCGACCTGTAGTTTGATTACAAAATTTACATGGACAGACGGACAGACGGACGGGCATAGCTAAATCGACTTAGAAAATGATTCTAAGCCGATTGGTATGCTTAAAGGTGGGTATAGAACCAATATTATTGTGCGTTACAAACATCAGCACAAACCCAATATAGCCTTCCCACTAAAGTGCTGTAGGGTATAAAAACACTTATACACTTATAAAAACTAAACTTTATTACTATTTAAACTCTTGGGCAAGCATTAGGGAAATATTTGAGCAAATAAATGTAACCACAACAATCTTACAAATATTTTCTTGAAACACCAAACCAAGTTTTCTAACTAAACATTTCTTTATACAAATATAAATATTTTTATTTGTTCATATATTTATCTAATGCCTTTATATATTTTATAACTAATCTGGTTACTTTATTATTTTTTTATACTTGTTAAATTTTTTTATATTTTTTTTATCCTTTTTTTTGTAGTTGTATAGTCTAGCCCTTAATTAGTTTTATTTTAGTGTATTTACAACAAAAACCCCAAACTTAATATTAAAATTAAATTTAATTAATTAAATAGTTTTAATATTAATGAAAAAAAAAAAAAAAAAAACAAAGACGATGATGATATTTCTCAACTACAATTGAAAATGTATTTGTATTTATATATATTTAGGGATAATAATTATTTAAGCTAATATTGTTAACATCAAATAAAAAAAGTAAATAAATAAAATTTAACAAAAAAAAGTACGAATTCAATTATTGAATCTAAATAATATTAAAAAAATTGACAAAACATATTAAAAAACAATTGAATTGAAATAAAAATTAGTTAAAAAAAAACTCAACTGTCTAATATTATTGAACAAGTATAAAACCAATAATCCACTTGAAGGTAAGTATATATACTTATATTTTATTATTATTATAATCACAAATTGTTTTAAAGTACAACGAACTAAATTAGTCGCAAAATGTACCCTTTTTGTCATGATGCTTGAGTATACTTGTTGTGGTTAATACATATTAATCATACGTACCTATGTCCACATAACAACAGTGCTTTATTTTATTAAATAATATGGTATCTTTGGAACTATTGGTTATAACGCAATGAAATTTCCCATGTTTAGAGTTGAGCTATTTTCGAATTGATTGACAGTTGTATGTGATCGTGGGAGGACTGGGAGGACAGTCGGCCACCTTAAATTTGATCACCTTGGGTATTAATTTTTCTTTTTTTTTTAATCGTCAAAAATCCCTTTATTATCTGAATGGGCTGACATCTACAATATTACTACTTCTAGAAAAGATCTAAAATTTTTAAATTTGGTGTGAAAACAATGGGTATAACAAGTTTTAAAAAATATCCTCTTCTAAATAAAAAAAACAAGTAAGAGTGTTAGAATCTCATATACCCACCATCAAACCGTATGCCATAAAAGGAATGCTCCCCTAACATCATTTTCACTCATCAAATCGCTGTACTCCCATTTTTATGTCAGTAATTAGCGCTAAAGTTATTTTCTGGAGGCAGGCTTATATGGTCGGGTAGAGTATATTAAATTTCATAACTGTACACGTATATTTAAGCCAGAAATTATCATTAAAGTAATTTTCTGAAGGGGACCTTATGGGGTCAATTGACTGATCCGCACTAAATTTGGTAGAAAGATTTTAACTTGTATAAAACTTATGTGTATCGAATTTCATCGCTTTACTCGTATTTTTAGGCCAATAATGAACTTTAATGTCATTTTCTGTAGGGGAGCTTATATGGGGATCATTCATATGCCTATTTTCATAAAAGTCAGTAGAGAGGTTTTGGCTTATAAGAAACTTACTTATGTCGAATTTCATCTTAATGCTCTCTTTTAAGCCAGTAATGTGCATTAGAGTAATTTTCTGAAAGGGACCTTATAGGGGGGTAGGGTCAATTATAGACCGATCCACATAAAATTTGGCGAATTCATTTTCGCAATGAATTTACTTCACTCGAATTTCATCGGTATACATGTATCTTGAATCCATTAATGAGCGTTACAACCATTTTCTGACTGTAAAATATGGTAGAGAGATTTTTAATAGTAAGAC